TTAAACAAAAGTATCACCATTATCCTATATAACTATGTGACTTAACCTTTTTTTCCTTTTATTTTTCCTTACGTATTGCCATGCATAACTCATTTTTCACATTATTAAAAACTGTACAGTCTCATATCCATACAGAATTCCAACTCAATAAACCTGTGACCATAGCTAACAGTCAATGATTATCTAAATATGATAACTTGTACTATTTTGGATAGAATCTCGCAGACAACATAATAGCTATAAACTAGACAATCCAGTGATAATATCCCACTGTCATATCTTGTACCTGAAATCCAGAAAAGTTCAGTACAGACACATAACAAATAGTCCAACCAATGGACCTAGAATCCATCCATGGATTCATACAGAATATGGCTTCGTGCCAATAATCATATCACCTAATATATCATGTGCATATTCTCATACATATCAACATCGTTAGTATATAATGACATAAAGGTACCCACGCCTCAAATACAAACTATATAAGTCATATATACATATATGTCTCTCAAAATACACTACAATTATACAGATGTATGGTCACACATCATGCTATAAAAGAATATGTACAGTCATCCAAAATGTCATATCAAAAGTCCTATGCAGCTAAGACCTCTACTCCTGTGTAGGCCCTTTGCCCTTAGAGGCTCTTCTGTTATTGCTAGAGCACATTAAACAAGTCCCCAAACGGGATAAAATTCAACATCTCAGTAAACTCAGGATTTATAGAATAGTCTCCACCCATGAGTTCACTTCCTACATGAAAGGTCAGATACAGAGTATAGATAACATCATATAAGTATAACTAAATACGACATCCAGGAATATGAGTCCTCCCTCGGATAGTCCAGACAAAATATCCGAGAATATAAGTCCTCGCGGAGGATAACAAAGTCTTCCGAGAACAAAGTTCTTACGGAAGGCAACAGAGTCTCCGAGAACATAAGTGCTCACAAAGGATAACAGAGTTTTCCAAGAACAAAGTCCGTATGGATGGTAACAGAGTCTCCAAGAACATAAGTCCACATGGAGGATAATAGAGTCTTCGAGAATATAAGTCCTCGTGGAGAATAACAAAGTATGTTCATTGACCAAGAAGCAGAAATCAAGCAAATCAAATTATCTTATTCACAATCAAATCATCAGAGGTAGATATTAAATAATATATATACTGCTAAATTATATTATCCTTTAACATTTTTCCACGAAAAATTAAGAAAGAGAAATAGTAACCTGCCCCACCTGTAATTTTTTTAAGGTCTTTATGTCAATTACTCTTATCCCATTATCCATCAAAAGATTCATTCGTTCGTGGGAATATATGATGGTTCGGGTGCGCTGCGCATATTTGTTCACACCTTTGCTTTTTCAGATAAATAATGAATTAAAATATAATGCCTCATTTGATAAATAATAGGTAACTAGGGAACGTACGGCATATATTCTGCACAGGAAATCTGATTGCAGTTATTCTTAATCAATCTTCCATCTGTTTCTATTTCCTAACAAAATATAATGTTGGGTGGAGGACTAAAAACAAGGAATTTGTTACAGAAAAGCTAGCGGACAAAGGAAAAACAAAAAGAAAACTTGGTGGCTGTGACAAAAAGATAGTACAAAATGGTGAAAAAGAATAATTTGTTAATTAAGGTGCGACAACCTGGTCTAGTGGCCGGCACCACGCCAGGTACGATTGTGCTTACGTACGACACAAATTTGGCTGCTTCTCAAACTTTCACATTCTCATATCTGAAACCAAGAAACATTGCCTAGTTCATTGGAAGCTTACAAGCACTAGCTTACCACCATCCCATTCCCAATCTCATGCATGCATTCATGCCATAGTGGTAAGTGGTGACCTCGAGTTTTACCCAATTGCTTACATAAATGGGTTTGGCACGAGGCTTGCCACTTGCACTTGCAGGATATTAGATAATATATATTGAACTGTACTAGTGCACATGGCAAGGCAAGGGCTGAGGTATCTTCTCAAAATCCTTAATTAATGGTTGTGTGAGCAGTATTTTAATTTGTGTTCATGCGGACTAATTTCTTATTTATAAAAAGAGATTTGAAGATCTAGGACAAAGAGTTCAGATAGTGTTACCTGAACCTACTGAAAGTATGATTTATGGTCGGTGATGAATGGGCGACACTACATTATAGGTGCGTTTTTATCAGGAAATTAATTTTGATAATGAGATAACTACATGTATATTTAAATATTAAATAAAAAATTAAATTTCCTTAATTAGAGATTCTGAATTCGAGTTTGCAGCGGATGAAAAAATAATCTTATGAGAAATGGCTCATGAGTTGGATCCATTAAGACTCTAACTGGATTAATCAAGTAATAGAGATATATTCAAAAAAAATTATTATCGAAAAACATTAATTGAATTTAAAAGAAAAAATTTATTAAAGAAAAATTAAATTCGATTACTCTAAAAAAATACTGGCTTACAGCTGATAATTTAAAATTTAAGCAGTATTTAAAAAAGTTGGATCACTTTACAAAATCAAATACGACTACCCTCCAAATTACTGAATTACGGCCACCTTTCATTTAACCAGTAGTGGAGTCTCTCGGAGCAAATTGGTGCGGCTTTATCATTTATCAATATCAAAAGGTTATTATTTATTAACATGACTTCCTAATCAGCCTTATAGGCCCACCTTGTCAAATATCTGATCTCCCGTACAATTGGGATATTGTGCTATAGCACATTTTATTAAAGTTTAGAATAATTGGAACTTGGAAGTTGTAATTATGAATTCTTAATTATTAATTAAACTACCGAATTATAAATTTGTAATTAGATAATGTAGTCATTCGTACTTGTTTAATAATGTTAGTTATCATTACATTATAAACTTTGAAAAAAAAATAGTTTTATACTCTTAATAAAAAATTATATAACGACCTAAGTTATTTATATATTCGATGGAATTTATGAGATTAACATAGGGGATCAATTAAAGTACCAGCTGTTTTACCAAAAATAATAAAAAAATGTATCAGTTGTCTCTTAGCTAATGAAAACTGTGAAAGAGACGAATGAAATAGCGTATTGTATCATTTTTCATTATAAGAATCATTTACCCTTATAACTTTTCTCATAATCATTTATCCCTTTCTCAAAATTTTGAATCATTTATCTCCTTGACTTAAAATTTTTTTATCATTTATCCCCTAAGTGAGGGAGGTAAATGATAAAGAAACTTTAAATCAGAAGAGTAAATGATAAAAAAAATTTAAATAGGGGTAGAAATGATTAAAAAAATTTGTAAAGGGTAAGTGATAATTGAAAAAACTCGTAAGGAATTTTTTGAAGTTTTTCCTTTTTTTTAATGAATCTCAAGTTCGTAAGGCACACGTGCTTTTTTTCCTTATTATAAGAATTATGAGTTGAATAACTATTATTATTTATAAAATAAAAATAAAGTTAAAATGGTGTTTTTTTATTTGTATGATGAATTAATATAAAAAAGAAAATCGGTAACATAACACTCAACCGCTTATCATCACTCTATTAACACATTATATTTTGCTAGTGAAAACGTGTTTACATTTTTTTTTTAACGTTAAATATTTCTAAATAAAAATTAATTTTATTTCCAGAGTGAACACGTTTCCTAAATATATTATGAGGCAGGGCATTGTTAATTTTTTAAAATTAAAAAAGAAGAAGCGAGGATTGATCCGGTTGATGAATAGAATAACGGGAAGTTAGGTCAAATAAAAAAGTTAAAAATAAAATTGAGGAGAGGACATCATGAAAAAGACTAATATTTATCGATCTGGATTCTCTAATTTGAAAATTCACATGGTCATGTAATGTGAGAAATCATAACCATACAAAGGTGGATCAATGGTAAAAAGGGATGAGAGAAAAAAAAATGATAAAATAGGTAGTTATGAAATCATAACCGTTGATTTACCTTTGTATGGTTGTGATCTTCCCATATGACCATATCATGTTTTTTTGGCACATTAGAGGATCCATTTCCAATATTTATATTGGCAATTGGCAAACCAAATATAAAAAGGAGGCAATATAATAAAGAAAAAACATGTATCCTTTTAAAAGATATAAAATTGTGTTTTTATAAGAAAGAAAAAGAGATAAATCATAAGTAAAAGAGAGTGAGATTTTCTTTTCTCTCTCATCTCAGGATTTATCTCTTTTTTTCTTTTAAAAAGATGCACATTTTTCTATATAATAATGGGTTCGCTTTTTTTTACAGTGAATGTAGATAACTTATTTACATTGAACCCAAAACGACATTGTTTTGAGGCAAAAAATCAAGGTATTTTTATAATTATAATTTATTTCAATATTATAATAGTCTTTTTTATTATAATTTTTTAACCCAAAACGACGTAGTTTTGGGAGCGAATGTAGATAATGTATTTACATTCACTGTAGAAATATTAAACCTATAATAATATTAAAAAGGGGGAAAATGTTTGCCTTAAGGATATAAGTTGTTTTATTTTAAGTGAGAGAAAAATACAACTTAGTATCTTTTATTTAAAATTTAAATTAAAAAAAATTATTAATTTTCTCTTCCATAATTTTTATTGTATATATTTTTCTTTCACTTAAATATAATATCTAATTTAAAAAAACGCTCGCGACTCAAGGGGCATTGGCATTGCTATGACTAGACTAATTAGGATCTAGTTTTTCTTTTCTGTCTGTCTTTAATTTTCATTGTTATCCAAAAAAATAAAAATACTAAACTCATTAACATAGCGTCTTGTACCAAAAAAAGAAAACAGTGTAGGTTTTTTTTTTTTTTTTGTATTATATAAAGTGTCGTTTTTTTATTGGCTAAACTGTCGAAGAAGCACATGCAGTGGAAACGCCTCGGTCCCGCCTCAGGGTGACCGTACACTATTGATTATTGAACACGCCGTGTTGGTTATTCGTTTGTTTTTCATAGTTTTTTCAGAACAAATTCTACCTGCACGGCTGCACTCAGCATTTAATAATATCCCACTCAGCATCTCCAAAAACACCACAACCTCAACTTCTCAGCCTCACCAATTTCACTTGTTTGATTTCTCACAGACACAATTCACACAATCATGTTCCTTTGAGAATTAACCAGCACAAGCACAACAGATATCGGGTCTGTCTTAGTTTGACACCTGGCGAAATTCCGCTTCAAAAGGTTTGCTTTTTTACCAGAAACATGTTTCCCTCTTATGGGGCAGTGTCTGTTTAAAATCTGTGTTGCAGTTACCATATTTATTTTTTCCGGTTAGGTTAGTTAATGTTTCCTTTGATCCTTGAAACAAGGGCTCATGTGTCTCCTGTTTGTTTTAGTTAAAACTTCAAACCATTATTTTAGTTCTAAAGAGATTATTCATTATTGAATTGAATTTCTAACATACCCTTTCAAAACAGTATTCGTATATATGAATTTTCAAAAGAATTTATTCGTGTATCCAAAAAAAAAAATTATTCCTTGACCGCAAGTATTGTTTTGTTTATCTGTGTTTGGCTGAACATATTTGTTTATATGAATTATTGGTTAGTCTTGCAACTGGGTAGGTCTATTTCGAGAGAAATATTCTTGGAGCTTTGAAGAACTGCAGCATCAACATAACAACAATTCTGGCCAAATTTGTAGCCATATCTTCATCTTCACCAACTATAGCAGTCCTTGGTCCTTGGTTTTCTGGTTCACAGTTTGGTTTGGACAGGCTACTATCTCTTATCCTGAGCCTTCCCACTGATTATGGTTAACTTCTGTTTCACTCTTCTCCAGTGATTTTCCATACTCTCAAACAACCTCTTTGTTGTTGCTAAACTCTCACTAAGCAGAGATGTGAGCGGCAATAGGATTGTATGTAAACTACTATTAAGTTTAAAAGCGCAACGAAGATTGAATAAAAAGGATTTGGAACAAGCTTTATCTTCTGCGATGGCTATGTGTAGGTGTGTCTCTGTTTTGATTGGGAGGGAGGAGAAAAGCAAGGTAAAAATTATGTTCCTTTTTTTCGAAGTTGATGTAAACCATATAAATTACCTGATTTGTTCTCTTTTTTCTTGTTTATTCAGGGTCCTGAACGATCTTCAAAACGGGGCCTTAAAACTCCACTTGCCAAACTACAACATCCAAAGTGTTCATCAGAGAGTCGTGATTTGAAGCCAGCCATTCTTGATGTTACAGTAACCTGCGGTATCCAGAAGAATTCAAGGTGCCATGTGAGGGTTATGAGTTTTGATAGTCCATTGAAGAATGAAGCGGAGGAAGCTTATGAAGGGGAAGATGAGCATGAAGATTCCCCCTCCATCAAGAGGGAGCTCTCTGATTTTGATCTCCAAGCCCATGAAGCTGTTGCAAGCGAAGGAGGATATGATCCAACAGATAAAGAGATAAAAAATCCCAGTTTATATGAAAACCAATCCAACATTCCATTGGGAGACAAAAACGATAAGTACAACAAAAAGAGTGTTGATGTAATCCAAAGTGGACATGTCAGTGATCCTGGGATTGGAAAGACTGAATTCTGGGCTTCTCCAAAGCTCGAGAGATCCTGCTCTAACCTGGAAAGAAGGGATCTACTTAGGAATACAGCTCATCATTTTCCATCTTCAAAGTCACAGTCTTTTGAGGATTTGGAGGAATTATCAGCAAAACACATGGTTAATCTAGAAAGCCCCAGGTCTGTGATGACTCACTGCAGTGCTAATAGAGTGCTGTTGAAAAGGCATTCCTCAAGTCAAGTTCTCCCTTCTGGAAGTAAAACATTGTGGTGGAAGTTGTTCCTATGGAGCCACAGGAACATACATAGACCTCGGTTACATCCAGCAAGTGCTGTTTTAAATAGTCAATGCGGGTACTCTTCAGACACCCTTGAACCAAAACAAGGTAAGGCATTGAGACATGTGGAATTACCCTCACCCGGGTCATCTTCTGGGGAACACTTTCACAAAGGCTGCAATGAAAAAAATAATGATAACCAAAGGTGGAGCAGATTTCACAAAGAAAACTTTGGTTTTTGGCCACAAAACCAATGGGTAGCTTTCTCGACAGAATCATCCTCCTTTACCAGAGTGAACGAGTGGGTGAAAGATCTCGGAATTCAGCAGCCACCTCCCCAGGATGATTTTGATGATAACAATATTGGAAACATTGTCTTCCCACCTTCTCCTGACGTTGGTAGATCATTGGCAAGAAGCACAGCTCAGTTGGTTCGACATCAAGGTGCCAATATTTCAAAGGAGATTTTGAATGCCAATAGCGTGGTCCAGTCTCTGAATCCAGCCTCAACTGCAGCTCATATATCAGGAATTGGTATAAAAGTCATCCCTGCAATTTCACACTTCTCCTGTCTCCGCTCTGTCAATTTGTCAAGCAATTTCATAGGTATAACGTGTTTGAGACAAGAAAGTAACCTTTAATATAACATCAATTATTAATAATGATAAATAACTCAATAGATTGGTTCTCCTCTTCATTGATTTGCAGCTCACATCACTCCTGGATTTCTCCCAAAGGGTATTCACACACTTAATTTGTCAAGAAACAAGATTAGCACCATTGAGGGCCTTAGAGAATTAACTCGGTTGAGGATACTTGACCTAAGTTACAATCGCATCTCAAGAATTGGACAAGGTTAGTTTCTATATTAGCTTATACTCCAAGGAGGTTTTTACTTCTTGAATTTCTTAACCTTCATTAAGTATTTTCTACAGTACAATTATTCATTGTGTTTTATCAGGGTTATCAAATTGTACACTAGTCAAAGAGCTATATCTTGCTGGAAACAAGATAAGTGATGTTGAGGGGCAACACAGGTTATTGAAGCTAACAGTTCTGGACTTGAGCTTTAACAAGATCACAACAACAAAGGCATTAGGCCAGCTTGTGGCTAACTACAACTCACTTCTGGCGCTGAATCTGCTTGGCAATCCAATTCAAAGCAACATCAGCGATGATCAGCTGCGAAAAGCAGTTTGTGGTCTTCTTCCAAAGCTTGTGTACCTGAACAAGCAACCTATCAAGCCTCAAAGGGCACGAGAAATACTCACTGATAGTGTTGCCAAAGCTGCACTTGGGGATAGCACCCGGAGCTCCTACAAAAAAGTACTAAAGAAAGGTGGCCAAGGAGGATCAAATTCCTCCAGTGTGCATAGAAGCAGTGCTAGTGTTGCCCAGAAAGGTAAGAACAGGTCAAAGAGCCGACCTAAACAACATTAATTGTCTTTAAAAGGAGCAATTTATCAGCTTTTATGTTTCTAAGACTTGATAAAGTGGTGCAGTATTTTTCAAATATATTTTTACCCTATATTTGCTTCAACCTGTAACCCACCTAGTGGGATAAGGTTTGGTTGTGATTGTTGTTGTGTTTGCTTCATCCTGTTATCTCGAGTTTTTGATTTATAACATAAAGGAGACTGCGCTAGTTATTGACAGTCTCTTGGTTTAAGACTTTGATGTAATTGTAGGAAATCTTAGATTTATGCGGAAGCGGTTTAGGACCTAGTACATTGGTATGCTTCCCGAATCATCCTTGTTTCACAATTACCTCTCGGTGCGCAGGTCTCATGTAGAATCTCCCCTTGTAGGATTCCTCTTCACGAACAGCTCACCTCAGCGCCGCAGCACGAACAACCTCCTTGAAGCTGGACTGTGGCAGATCTTCCAAACTATCTCTCGAGGAGGAAGGGGAAGTGTGTGGGCACTGATTAGATAGATTCTGAGCTTGCCTCTTTTTCACAAAAAAGACCTCTACAGCTGATGACTTAAGAGGTACTATTTATATGGGTTCCAAGAAACCCTAGTTCATTGGACTCTAGGTTCCTTGGGCTCTTCTCATACTAATAACCCATTTGGGCTTTAGTAAAAGAGCAAACCCAACAATCTCCCACTTGCTCTTTTGGATACAAACTTGAGTTGTAAAACCCAAGATCATGTAACCCATAAGTCATCATCTATCCGAAAAATACCCCATCCCTTGTCTCAAGCTAGCTTGGGGATCTACCATCTGTTATTAATCAAGGCTCCTGATAATCAACGAATGATTATCTAATTCGGTGCTACTCCACTAAAAGCCCGAACTTGAACTCCAAGATTAACAACACTTATAACATGAATATGCATCGCCCCTTTGTAGAATGTCTATAATTGATTGACAATTTTTCTGTAACTCAATCAATTATTTATTCCCTTGACTATGATAGTTTCTCTGATGGATTACATGCACTGGCCAGTGTTTTTAATATCCAAGTACCGAAACATATCAAGGGGACATATCCTACAAATTCCATGTTGTTTATCTCATAAATACCGATAATCAAATAATCTCACTCCCAAAATACCGAGTTATTGGCCGTCAATAGATCGAACCTCACCCGTTGGTAAATCAAAGAATGAAAACTATTTGATTACCTATTTATAATAAACTCAGGATTAAGAGCAATCACATAACTATAGTTAACTGGAGATTTGATACCTTATGACAGAAAAACAACCTTAATCAAATCTCTCCTTGATCCTTTCAATGTGAATGTTAATTCACACCAATATTTTACAATGATTCGGACAAAATCATTTCATAAAATATTGCAGCCTGAATAAAGTGCCCAACTTTATTTAACGGCTGTGACTCCATTCATCAATTGTGAGATCCTATGATCATGTCCTCCATGAACGTATCCATATGATCATATACTCCACAATTTGATCCGGACCTTTATGTTTGTAAATAGTGCGCAAAATAAATAAATAAAACCTTATTTATGAAATTCAGAAAATGATTTTATTGTTTCATCGTCTTACTCCAAGAGCACAATGAAACCAATAACTCCTACTTGCTTAATGCAAGTCTGGGATCTTCCTAAGACCCAAAGAAGTAACATGCCTCTTGAACACAAGTTCAGGCAAACTCTTAGTAACTGGGTCTGCAAGATCCACCTCTAATGCTATCTGAGTTTAGTGAAAAACTCATAGCTCGAGGTTGATTTTCTTGAGTTAATATCCACTTGAAATAACTGAATTTTTGAAAACTCAGCTTTTCAAGACTCCCACTAGAATATACCAACATATAATCTCTCGTTCTCCAAAGATACTTGAGTACATGCTTAACAATAATCTAGTATTCCTCTAGGTTCAAAATGGTACTATCTCACTACTCCCACTACGTGACAGATGTCTGGTTTAACGCCCAACATGATATGCGTGAGTCTACCTTTGCCAAAGCATAAGATATCTTGCTCATGCATTCTTCCTTCTTAGAAGTCTTTGGTCACTCCTTAGGAGGATGAATTCCACATCTGAGAATTATAATTCTTCTCTTAGAATTCTCATGTTGAATTTTGGCAAGAGTTTTGTCAATGTAAGTAGGCTGAGGTGATGCCAACAACTTATTCTTCCGGCCTCATAAGAGTTTTATACCAAGAATATAATTGGCTTCCCCAGTACTTCCATACCAAAACACTAACTTAGCCAACCCTTTATGCTTGATATTACCTCCACATTGTTTCTAATAAGGAGCATATCATCTACATAAAGTACCAGAAAAGCTATTGTCTTCTGTTGTATCATTTACATACAAATACACATCATTCATCAAGGCTCTCTCAAAATCAAAATTTTGATAACCTGATCAAAACTGATGTTTCAAGACCTGGATGCTTGCTTAAGTCTATGAAATAGACTTTCACAACTTGCATACCGTGTGTTCCTACTCATTTGCTATAAACCCTTTTGGTTGTTGTATGTAGATATCCTGACATCCAACTCCCAAAATGTATTCTCATAATTGAGACTTATAGCAACTAAGAGAATCTGGATAGACTCAAGCATGGCGTCTGGCAAAAAATGCCTCCAAGCTAGCTTTGAAGGTTTTCACCTTTCTGTCCATCCTCTCTTTGCCTTTTATGTCCACATGCACCTTGTGGGTTTTACCCCTCTTGGTGTCTTTACTAGGACCGAACGGAGTTGAAATACAAGTATTTCATCTCATTGTTTATAGCCTGAGTAACACTTGATCAACAACATCTTCTAGTGCATTATCGTAACTAGTAGGATCAATGTCACTCAACAAGAAACAACTTGAGAGTTAACAAGGTTCTCTCCCACTACGAATGTACTGCATTAGACCTTGTGTATTTATAGGTAAAACAAAGAGTGGGTCAAATGATGGATCTTCAATTTCTTGAGGATCCGCTTATCCTTGATATTGTTCCTTTACATGTGATACTAATATTTCTACTAGTTTCACTTATATATTATCATGTTGAATTTCCAATTACGGTTCTCTTGTTTGTTCACCTAGAGATATATATATCCCCTCTTGAACAATCAAGGGAACAGTGGATGGAGCTTCTAGAGATTCTGGAAATTCTTGATCTAAGATAAATCTCATCAAGAATAACCTAACTTAAGAGCTTATAATTTCTTATCTAGTCCTCCTTTAAGAAAATCATGTAAGTGCTCACTTAGATTATCTTGTCCTTAAGACTAAATAAGAAATCATCCCTAGTTCTCTTAGGGTAGCCAAAAGATATGCACTCTTCCATACAAGATTCCATCTCATTTGACTGCTGTTGTAGGACGTGTGCAGTAGCACCCTAAATCCGAATATGGTTTGATCTGGGCTTGCACCCCTTCCATAATTCTTTAGGTGTCTTTACAACAAACTTTGACGAAACCAAGTTAAGAAGGTAGATTTCCTTCTCTTAGGCATCTCCCTTGAACAACATTGGCAAAGATGAATAACTGAACATGATCTTCACCAAGTCTAGAAATGTTTGATTTTTGCATACTGCAACTTCATTCAACTAACGCGTTCTTAGAGTTGACAGTTACGAAATTACCAGACAGGTAGCCAAACACTTTAGTAGACCAAAGTGGTTTGATTTGAACACCTACATGCTTTTCTGCCTCAGACTTAAACCTCTTGAAAATTTCCAAAAGCTTTAGACTTATAGCGCACTTGGTTCATCTGTCCAAATCCAGAGTAAACATTCATATAATGAAGTACTCATCACCTCTTATGGTCTGAACGCTAAGTGGTCCACATACTTTAATAACTTAGTATTATCGACGATGGGCCGTACAATACTTTATTAAAATTTTGAAATTATTAAGGCCCAATAAAATTCAATCATGCTTATCCGTTGGGGCCTCACATGATTATTTTATTGATAGGCCCACAATGCGCCTGGAGGTTAAATTAATTTCTTAATTTAAATCTCCTCCCATAGATATTTAAGTCCAATCTAATAAAATACAATCATGCTTATTCGATGGGACTTCACATGATTATTTTATTAATGGTCCTATAATGCGCTTGAAGGTTAAATTAATCTCTTAATTTAAATCTCCTTTCATTCAACATAAGCAACATTTCCTAATTTCCAAAAATTATTTAATTGAGAGTATCCTTTGTTCGATTTCAAAAACTATATAAGTAAGAGCGCCGATAAACGTGCACTAAGCTTAACATAATTTTGAAAGCATTAAGGTCCTGAAATCCGGTCACTTTACGTCAGCGTGTGCTCCAAACAATCATGATACATGAAGGTTGTATGCAGCGTGTGTTATTCCATGACCATTTCAGAAAACCCACAAATTACTCGCAAAATAAAAGAATTATCTTAGGAAATTTTCTCTAATTATTTTTCTAGATTTAAATCATCCAAATAGCTGACTTAATTATTAATCTAGATTGCAACAATCATAATAATTATCATTTATGAGGATAATTTGAAATCAAAATAATTTCCATAACGATTATTTGTCTTGATGTTAATTATCCAAAATTAATTAATTCAATTATTAATCTAGATTTTTAATAAAAATCATAATAATTATTAATTAATTTCTTAGGATGATTTAAAATCAAAATAATCTCATAATAACTATCATACTAGTCGCTGAAGACATAATAGCTATTATGCTCATGCAATCATACAAGTTATGCAACAATATGGCACCACCTATTCTATATGGCATGTTATCGCAATAAAGCATGTCATATATCATATAATTTATACCAATCAATAAAAGCATTAAATAATAAATCATAATTACTTTAATCCATGGCCTTCCTATTTTAAAGAAAATTAAATTAAATTAAATTAAATAATACAACTTTGGAATTCGACTTTCGCCTAGCCCATAGTATCTGTCTCAAGCCCCTTTAGGGTTTCATAGGCCCAAAAGCCCAAAGACCCAATCCTTTGGCGAGAAACCCTAGGACGCGAAAGAGGAACCCTAGCTGTCAGGTCTGCCGCGCCGTCACCCGAAGTCAAATCAGGCTGAAACTCCAGGGGAAGGACCACCACGTAGAGACGAGTGCACCGCCGCTGGAATCACCCAAAAAGGTGGCCGGACGCACCCTCACTCTCCCATTCTTTGCCGGAGAGTGGCGACACTCTCAGCCTCTTGTGGAAGCGCGTGGTGGAGCGTGGAGTCTCCTATGGCGGTGATCCACCCACCGTTGCGTTCGTCTTTCCGTCCTCTTTCCAACCATATATAGATCGCCCCATTCCGGGATCGTTAAGTCCTCGAAAAGTCTCCGACAGTGCTGACTGCGCATCTTCCTCGCGATTTCTCGATCTTGAACTTTTACAAAATATTGAAAAAATACACAGAAATTCCAAAAATAAACAAAAACAGCAAGGAGGAAACCTAATCATATGAGATTAGCCTCCTTGTTACAAATCGAGAAATACACGAGAGACCCTAACCATGGATTAAAGCATTTTTACCGATTAAAATTTAAACTTTTATGAAAATGAATTATAAAATACACATGCTAGATTCATACCATAATCCTAGAACCCTAGGTGCCACATTTCAAGAAGCAAAACTAATTACATGAATAGTGAAACTAGATTCACATACCAATGTACAGCCAAGGCTCTGATACCAATTGTAGGAAATCTTAGATTTATGCGGAAGCGGTTTAGGACCTAGTACATTGGTATGCTTACCAAATCATCCTTGTTTCACAATTACCTCTCAGTGCGCAGGTCTCGTGTAGAATCTCCCCTTGTAGGATTCCTCTTCACGAACAGCTCACCTCAGCGCCGCAGCACGAACAACCTCTTTGAAGCTGGACTGTGGCAGATCTTCCAAACTATCTCTCGAGGAGGAAGGGGAAGTGTGTGGGCACTGATTAGATAGATTCTGAGCTTGCCTCTTTTTCACAAAAAAGACCTCTACAGCTGATGACTTAAGAGGTATTATTTATATGGGTTCCAAGAAACCCTAGTTCGTTGGACTCTAGGTTCCTTGGGCTCTTCTCATACTAATAACCCATTTGGGCTTTAGTAAAAGAGCAAACCCAACAATCGAGTCTTCGTTGTCTCCAATTTTAATGTGTGGAACTTCATGTCATCATCCGGCTTTTGCAAATTCTATGAACACCATGTAAACAATTTTGGCCTCGCGAGACAATAACCAGCCAGAGTATTCTGAAGCATCGCTGAAACAATAAATAAACAGGTTAGAAGTAAAAGAAAAAAAAAAATTGATAAAACAGAATGAAAAGTTGCATTATATTATAATTAACTTTTGTGACTCAGATTTTTCCCGAAATACTTTAATTGGAATAATAAAGAAGAACTGAAAATTCGTTACTTGGTTTGAGCATTTTTCAGTTTCTCTCTCAATATCTCTCTCATTTTCATTAGTAGCGGTCTATGTTGGGCTTCGAAGATAAATTAAAACTGAGAATTTGTTAAAGTTTGTGAGTACTTCTAAATGTTCAATCGAAACACTGCTTCATCAAAGCGTTGCAAAATCGGATTTAATTTCACCCATCGTGTGGTAACTTTCGACGAAGAGCCAAGTTATGAGCTGTTGAATCATTTGAACGAAGATCCAGAAACATCAAGTGTGTTTCACTGCATTTCTTTTAGACTACTACTCTTTAAAAAGATCACATTTCAATTGCACAATTGAAACTTGAAAGTAGATTTTTCGTGGTTGCCGATAAAAATACTTCTCTAACTACATCAGTACAAACAAAATGAACAACCAAAAAAACAATGGCACCAGTGAGCTTTCTTCGGATGCAATTCTGCAATTAATCAAATAGCAACACTCATGCCAGAAAACAGAAGAAGGGGGCGGGGGAATCAAAAGAATGATAGACTAATAATAGATTAAGTTTCCATACACAGCAGAGGTGGACAATCCTGAATATATGAATATAACAGCAGTAGAAAAAGAATACCGATTCCAAGAAGTTCTTTTGTCGGAAATTGTTGACCATTACCATGCTTAAGTTTCCATAACAATTTCAAAATGGGATTAGTTTTCATTGAGACAAACAAAAACTTATCCATTCAATCATATATTTTACAGGCACATATAATATAACCACAGAAGTTAAACTCGATTGACTTTAATTGATGAAGAACCAAAAAAAGGTGAAGGGGAAACCAATGCTGGGGGACAGACACAAAATAGTTTACTTTTGTAACGAAGATTTACTCTCTAAATTTCAAGTTAAAGATAGAGCAACCGGTGATGGAAAGATTATAATTTTTTAAAAATTTATTCTAATAACTAGAGAAAAACTTGGTATGATATCAATTATTAAAAAATCATATAACAAAAACCATTATATGAGGAGGCGTTCCATCGTAGATGAAAGTTGAAACTATGGAACTTCGTATGCCTAGATAAAATGAAAAATTTGAGGAATCTACAACCCTTGCCACCTCATGTGCAATGTTAAGGAGTGCATGCGGCTCTATCACTATCAGTACATAGAACTCAAATTTCTCCCCGTCTTCTTCGTTCTTCCTCAGAATTGATGAGGATCTGTCAAGCCAATCACTACCATAGATTGAATTATTAAGAGACACTTTTTTCATGCCAATATCAGAATTGCTCTTTCTTTTTAAAGTGTTTCTCATCTCAGCACACATTTTTCTTCCCGGAAAACACAACACAAGTTATTCAGAAAGTTGAAGTTAAATGTTGCTTTTCCATTTCGTTCATCTGAGCATACTTATAGAGCTTCTCGTTGAAGAGCACCTGGGGGTCTTTGTCAATCAAAACACCATTGTCACCATAAGCATCCTTCAAGAACACAACCCAATTCATCTCAGTTCCGGCCAAATAAAAAGCTCTGAGCTGCTTCAGAAGCATATGATAAGTATGTTTAGTCAAACTAAACTCCTCCTTAAACTCCACAAGGTGATGAATAGAGGCCCTCTTCTCCAAAGTCAAGTTCAAGAACTCATGAATCACACCCACCCTATACTTCTCTGCTTCCAAGCTCCACACATCCAATTTAGACCCATCAGAATAGGGAGACACCAAAGGAAGTGTATTCAACAAATTGAGCTTCCTTGTATCATCAAACTCCAAATCCAAATCCTTACCATATTTCACAGGAAACCTAAACCTCCTCTTGGCACTATCCTCATCAACCACGAACTCCTTCTCAAGCGCACTCACAGCCAACAAAGGGTCCCAATTCACCAACTCAAGCACCCTCTTCCCATCATTCTCAACCGAAACCCTAAAATAATTAGGGTACTTGGAAACCCGGTCTCTGAAATCATCGGGGATACCAAACAGGGTTCTGCAATGGTGGATCTTGCTAAGGGGAATTCGCTTATGCGCCGACATCATGAGCAATTTCCGAACTTTATCGACGCGGTTAAGCTCCAAGGAGTCCATGATGGATTGTTCCTCGGAGAGAAGGTCCTCCATGAGGTCGGTGAAGCCGAGCCACATTTTGCCGTCGGTGTGGCGGTGAGTGAGGAAGAGGAGAGGGTGATGGTGGATGAAGCGAGAGACCTTGCGGCCGCGGGGGAAGCCAAGCTCGCGGTGGAGCTTGCCGGCGTCGTCGAGGCGGAGGACGTGCTCCGGTTGCTTGGAGAGGAATTGCTTGGTCCTCGTCACGAACCTCAAGATGTTGTCGCGCTCCAGGATGCGCTCAAATTCAGGGATGCGGTTCGGTTGGGTTTGGACCAGCTTCGTTCGTGGGCTCTCTTTAGTTTTGCGTTTCTTCCTCAGCTTTTTGGGGGTTTTGGTGACAAGGAAGGAGGTGGAAAATGGGGCGGTGAAGAAGATGGGATTCCGATTAGGGTTGCAGAGGGTTAGGGTTTTTGATTCAGAGGATTTGATGAAGCGCCAAGCCATTGAATTTAATCTTCATGAATGAGAAAACGGCTATATGGGTGCTATGATAATTGATTATGATCAAATGGCGATTGATTTAATCTAAGGGATTTCACTTGCATCTAAAAATTTCTTACACACACAATATTTTGTTGGGGTTCACACTTTTTAAAAAAAAAAAAAAAATTAAGGCACGCAAAATAAATCTCTATAACATTACACAATCACTTTTCCTATAACATAACTCTTATACAACCCTTAATTTAAAGTGGGAAAAAAATTAAAATTGAAAAAAATTCCGACCTGCCGGATTCGAACCAGCGACCTAAGGATGGCTATTAGGTTATTCAACCAACTACAGTCCTCCGCTCTACCAACTGAGCTAAGGTCGGATATGCTTGTTGCTCCGATAGATTATTATTTACTAGAAAATGGTAACTGTACAGTTCTTTTATGCTAATGACAATGTACGGAATACCACGATGAATTCTTAATTCACTGTTTCTTTTTCAATTTTAAAATTACCTCAAGACATAAAAGAAAAATCCCAACACGAAATAAACACTTTTTTTAAGAATTTGTTATTTTTTTTATTGTGATAATGCATATGTAATCTATTTAGTGTGCAAATCGAGTAAAATATTACTGATGTGCCGCCACCTACTTCATGTAATTTTATAGACAATATTTTTTATATTTTGCAGTATATATACTTTGGATCCCATCATCACATCTTGTAGTCCGCTCCACATACCAGTTTAGCATTTTGGTTAACATTATTTTCGAGGAAAAAATTGATTTTTTTTTTAAAAATGACTTTTTTAAAAGAATTTAATTATAAATTATTTTTAAAAAATATAAGAAACTTTTTTTTGTGTGAATAAATATGAAAATCTATTACACGTAAATAATTGATTTTTGAGTATAATGCTATACAATCGCTTCTCAGTGTTTTTTTTTTTTTTCGACAAACCGATCAATTTTTTTTTTCTCAGTGCATCGGGCCATATACTAGTACACGGTAAAGCTCATCCAACAAAATCATAAAAATTTTACTTCATAACAAATTAGATTTCTAAACAGTAAAGAAGCAAGCTTTCTTATTTCTTCCCAAGCAGTATCAAGTTTTTTTGGTGAAAAAAAAAAGGGTATGAATTGGACTGGTTAATCCTAAAATAAAAGCAACCTATGCAAAAATGCCACATTAGTGCAGTATTATTGTTTAAGCCAATCTATCAGTGTGGGTACATCGAACCAGCAAGCCATGTAAATCGTACACTGGACTGATGGTGAATGTGATTTTGATTTCATATTATAAACATTGACAAAATTATCAAAAGATAGTCTTGCCTACAAGAGACATTTAAAGAACTTATAAAATGAGAGCAGAAAAATGTTTTCTATAGTAATAAGGGGGAATTAACCGCTGAGCATTTTATACATCACAGCAAACAGGAATAACTTATTCTATCATCATCTTCCCAATCTTAAATTATATGTCTGTGTAACTGTAATCAGACATCACATGAAAAATCGAATCTACCAGTATACCTCTGCTCCTCGTTTGGTAATTACATTGCCCTATGTATACCTTACGGCTACATAGGATTTGTGGTGGTATCATTGACGAGAATCCACTGTTCCCTCTGTTGTTGTTTTTCTGGCTTCTTTCTGTCCAAAATTTCCAATCCCTACTTTCTATGGCGGAGCACTATGATAATAAATGAACAGTATGGAAATGAATATATGAATATTATGGTCTAATTTCTTCAGGACTTAAATGAATTAACTTGCTTGTCTCTTAAAGAAAGGTTTCTGGCAGATCAGGAGTCTCTGATCACTGTCACTTTCAATTTCTATAACTCGTGCATCCCACTTCAGCCGTGCTGTTAGTGCTCTTACTGACTCTATTAAAGGAACTGTGTCACGAATAACAATCCAACCCTGCACACAAGATCGTTGTCAGCATATCACAAGACCTATGTGAGAACCTCCTGCAAATCTACAATTTCTCTTTTGCAATATGCTATGCAGTTCGGTATAATTAGGAAGTATGATGTTTTATTTCTTTTCCTTAGCACCCAAAAAAAAAAAAGAGAGAAAGAAAGAAAGAAAGAAAATAGCCATTTTAGCATTATGCTTTTATCCATGAAAAAAAAGGTTCAAGCATTCTGCTACATCTCAATGTTGACAATGAGGATCATATTCAGCTACTGCTGCCTGTACAAGGGCTAACTAACTAACAAGACATTTTAGAGAACAAACACCAGGACACATCAATTGCAAGGGAATTTAAGAGATCGTTTGGAGAGCATTTAATTTGATTAGGATGTAGAATGAAATTAAGGGGAAAAAGTCATTCAATTTGCCAGCATAAAAAAGAAAGGCCACAAAATCCTGCCTTAACACATTAAAAATGGACATAGAACTTGTCACACAATGCACAAATTGATGCACATCCAGCTACAAATGTTATCAATATCCATAGATAGTAAAATTTTAACCAGCTACCAGGCCTATAAAGCGAAAGAAAACTGAAAACTACAGAAGTCATGGTCATAAATTAATACAATATTGTGGTAAGTAGAGGTAAATTCATATATACAAGTTTTTAATCTTCCACAAGATTAATATCCATCAACTTTTACAATCCTGTTAGTATTAGATTATATGCTCAAATCCAGGCCATTATGCTTTGATTCAATAAAGGAACAGGATAAATTGCATTACTGCATGTCAATAAAGCTCCATCAAAGTGAAATCCAGTGGACTCTTTCCTTTATGGGTTAGAGGCAAATAATTCACCTTTTTAAAAGTTTGCGCAAGTTTTTGAAAAGGTTATCCTTACTCCAATTATGAGTGTTGAGTAAAAGAAGACTTTGATTATTCCTCATAGCTTTAGATATTTATACCTCATAACATCAGACAACGTGAACGGGGGGTGGGGCGAAGTGAAGAGGAAAAGGACTACAAATTAAAAATAAAGCCCAGAATGTTAAGTTTACATACCTCTGGGCGGAGTAACCTGTCAATTTCAATGAACAGATCAAGCGTAGTGCATCTGCGCTGCTGAGCAGTTTCAAGGGATAAAAGCCCTGCTGCATGCACCAAGTCATAGGTTCTAGGGTACGTTGGAAAGGCCTCGCACCTAGAAATCACAGAATATCATAATTGTAAGAAGACTATAATTTGTATAACGCGTAGTAGCAATTGTTCACAAAATCATAATTCTAAAGTTTCTTAACTGTAACCTTTTCATATAGCAATGAGTTAACTGCAATATTTAATTTAAGCTGCAAAACTTTAGTGGTGATAAAGTTAAGGATATAAAACAATCCCTACACCTCCATTTAAATAGCTTAAGATTAGTTGATCCTTGACATGGCCCCCACAACCAATTAATTATAAGCTCAATCCCTGTTGCCCTATTCATAATTAAATTTAAAGTAAGTTTGTACATTGTCCACGCTAAAGCCCAAATAGCTCTTGCATTTGGGGTGTGTTAGAGTTATAAAAGCATTCACGTGTTTTTACCTAACAACTGAAATTGAATTGGTTCTTAACAGATTCAAGCTTCATTATTCAAGATTCATTACCATACTTTTTTTAACAAATGTCAGGCATCTGAATTATTTTGTGTCAAACGAAACTTAAACACATTAAGAATATTCTAACCATAGTGCAAATGTTATATCCTCCACCAAAACTTAAATAAGTATGAAACTTAGATCAAGGTATTAATGCTTAGATTTTACATAGGGAAAAATAGGAAACCAATAATTTTAGATAGGTTAACATATATTTCTTTTCCATATAAATTACACTCATTTTCAATTTGGTCCCTATACGAAAATAGTTTTCAATTCAGTTTATATACAAACAACTGTTATTAATTTGTTCCTTGTCATCTGTTGCTATAATACAGTGAAGTGTAGAAACCAAATTAAAAATGTGCCTCCTGTATGGAGACAAGAAATATTTTAATTTTAGTACCTATATGTGACAATCATTTTCAATTTGGTCCTCATAATTCACATTGACTCCATGTCAATCTCACAATGTCATAATGGCAACAAAAGACATAGATGACATTGAAAATGATTATACATACACAATAACAATAGCATCATCTTTATTCTAAACTAGCTGGGGTGTTAATGGATGAATTCATATAGAAGCAAGAATAGATTAAGGATTATACATATAGAAATTAAATTTAAAACTTTTTTTGTATAGGGACTAAATTGAAATGAGTATCATCATTTATAGAGATCAAAAAATATACTCTAACTACATATTTGGATGGGATCAAGACATTTAGAAAATAAAAAAAATAAAAAAAAGGTAAGGAATAAAGAATTTAACAGATGGCTGATAATTTACATTCCAACAAGCCAAAGAAAAAAATGCAAAGGGAGAAACATGAAATTCTAAAATAAGAAGAGAAAGGAGATTAAAATACCAATCGTGCAAAACACCAACATAACCCCTATCCTGGATCAAAGGAAGATAGTTGGGCCCAGTCATGGGGACCACATTCATGACCCACACAGATTTTCCAGCTTGCAACAACGCAGAATTAAAACCACCAAAATGAGCATTCATGTCTAGCACATTTCTTAGCATGTTGTAAGGTGGTGGAGGGTCTTCTTCACCAGGCCTCTTTGGATGATCAGAAAATATTAAAGGTGACAGAAGAGACCAATAATTACGGACTGCTATTCTCCAGCTTTCAGAATCCTCGGCAAATTCATCAGATTGCAACCCTAATGCAAGTAATAAGAACATATTTAGACAACCTAGTGGATAGGAGATTTCATTCAGGTATTCAGCACAGTGCAATCCTTCTATAAAGAGATCTATAAATAAATGTTGAAGAATATAACAATTACCATAGATTGCAAGCTCATTCTCGTTCAAGTTATCCCTGGAAGGCCAGGTTGCCCTCTCTTCAATAGAAATCCATCGGCTGCTATGTGTTCCTCCAATGCAATTTTGCAGTTCTCGATAATATGGAGACTCCACATCATAGCCTCTACCACATAAAGGAGGGGGAGAACCATTCTTCCTGGAAATACAAACAGACAGGCAATGCTAGGAATCAGGGATAATTGTTAAAAATTATGCAGTAAGCAAATGCATATAACTAGTACAGAGATCCTAGTTACAAGATATAGAAAGTGAAAATACACTTTCATAAATACATGCCACAGCAGCATTACCTTGAACTGTAGCATTTCCTTTTACTAGTTTTCTTCCATACTACAGTTTCATCTTGCTGCGACAACAAGTCCCAGCAAAGGTTTTCAGCAAAATCATGTATGAACTTCCACCTTTTCTGACTGTCTTTGTCACGAGCATTTGTAAGCGGTGATGTCCAGACAAAGTAGCCACCCGGTTTTAAAAGTCTATCAGCTTCAATCAAGAGAATTCCATCTATACCATGTAATATGAATGTTAATAAGATCAAACAGAGTCCAATTATACAGTGAATTCACTTCAGTGACGACTTGTAGTGCTACAATATTAATAAATCAGAAAAAAGAAGCTATGGTTTTGAAGTTCAGAACGAAGTTTTCAGATTCTTAAACTTAAACATTAAAAACAAGATAATAATATGAAATGAGGGCAGTTTAGCAGATGAAATTCACACAGATATGAGAGGAAGACTGAGAAAAGTTAACTCCAGTTTGTTGGATAATTCAACGACCAAGGGGAAATAAAGATATAAGGTATCTACATACTTTGTTTTGCTTTTAGTATATTTCCCGATAGAGGATGGATGTAATATGTTATATTGACTGTAGTAAATTTTGAGTAAACAGGAAGCCCGTTTACAATCAACGATGAGCAATTTTTCAATGAATAATTGGTACAAAAAAGAATTTAATAAGTACAATGTTTAGCTTTTGGCAGAAGATAATTAAAAAGCTAATTTTTTTTTTCGGTAAACAATTACAGAGCTACTTTAAGTACGATGGCTTTAGACAGAAAAAGATTAATACATTTATCTTTGGGAAACTCCCTGTAATAAAGAACTAGAATTAAATATTTTTCCAAAAGTCTACAGCATATAATATTTCTTAATTCAAATGCACGGCAAGACTTGTTGTAGGCATCCCACATGGAAGATTTTTAGTGCAAGTTTGATATATATATGGTTAGAACATACTTTTAGTCAAAATGAGAAACCCCTAGATATTGGACTTAGTCAGAACGACTAGAAACAATATAGAAGCCCAGACAACTGTTAATATTTTTCCTTGGTTCCAAAAACAGTGTTGTAGGTCTAAGCTTGATGGGGAAAAAAATACAACACCACACAGGAAATAGCCAGGTCTCGTAGTTCAACATATGAAGTGTGTCCAAAATTTAAAAAAATAAAAAATCTAACAATGGATAAATTGCAATTTAAAAAAAGAAAAGAAAGAAAGAAAATCATTTCCTAGATCACAATGGCAAGGTCCATGTACTAAGCTTAGTTTGAAGAACCATAAATGATATAGGATAGTGAACAGTCAATATTTTTCCTTGGTTCCAAGAGAGTGTTGATGGTCTAAGCTCACTAGGAAAAAATACAACACCACAAGAGATAGCCAGCCCTCAAAGTTATAGTTTGAGGAAACAGAATGGATATTTACAGTCTACAATAACGAAATTTATTTCTTATTCAATGATATCTAATTCCTTCTTCCGTTGGCATTCATTATATAACATCTTACTTGGAACTGGGAAGGGCTTAATAATCCAGACAAGAAAAGATTCTGTTGAATAAATGCAGAGAATGACAGAACCATGTTGACCATATAGAAAGTAGCATGAGGTTGATTTTCAAAGATACCTTTCTGGTCCCAATCAATGCCACATCTCGCACAATGCAACATATCAAAGGAGAGAGATGGATATGGCAACTGTTTTGAAGTCAAAGAAGCAATCATAGCAGGAAGACCCCTCTCGAGTGTAAGCTGAACTTGACTGCCTGAAGGCTCATAGTTTGCAATGCACATAGTTAAAAGCTGACTGTGAAAGAGGTGCGCTCCAAAACTACCATAGCCACAACCAATGTCCAGTATGGTCCTAACCTGTAAATTTTAGAAAACCAACGGGCTCAATCAAAGAACATTTCAGGCAAGGAATGTAAGTATATAACAGTCAAACTTTAAGAAATAAGTTCACATTCAGTACCACCATTACCTATCAGAAAATGTATCACAAATCCGTCCAAATGTATAGTACAAAAAAATTTAACATAATTAATATAATTAATCACCAAGTAGATGAGCTACATGTTATGCAGCCTAAGATGTCAAGAAACTTATCCACTACTACCATGGGACTTTCTGGCACTTTGAAACAAACTATTACGCCATTGTAGAGCAAGGTAAATGCATAGAACAGTTCAGAGATACATAAGGTTAAACTACATGCAAATGGAGAATATTTGGAATATTCATTATTTGTTTGCTTAAAATGCCATCAAGACAGTTAATAACTATATCTATATTTTCTATATTATTACTATTAGGGTGTGTCTGACAGATAACGAGGAACAACAAAAAATAGATCAGAAGAGCAGAAGGGGTTAAGTCACAAGACAATTTTTTTGTATTGTTAGCTATTTGATGACCAATGCATAGGACTAAAACTCTTGAGCTATCTGCCATACTTAGACTACTTTTAAAATCAAATAAAACACAATTTTTTTGTGCTAGACTGTTTTTAGCAAATCAAACAGACTCTAGTGAGCAGTGAGCTTAAAATGCAGATACACCCATTTCTCACAATTAAGCAAGGTGAATGATGTTAAGTATGCTCAATTCTGTAATTAACATGTGCCAAATTAGTGAAGTATGGATATAATTGATGAGCGCCACTACAAGAAATAAAGCAACAAATACTCAAGTATGCCACTATCGGAAAAGAATAAAATATTCATTTACCCCAGCTTGTATGAAGTTAGATTCATTTCTAAGTCCAATCATTTCTGCGATTTGATGTGAATAGTCTTCAACGCCATCAAACATGAGAGAGGCAGAACGAAATGAAATTTGCTCTTCATCGAGCATCATCATCCTGCAACCAAATAAAATACATGAAAACTTTGAGATGAAATGATAGCTGAAAGTAGGACAGCCAGTAAGGGAGACGTATATCACCCACCTCTTGGTCAAGCTTCCAGAAGAAAGAACCTCCTGCGCAGTGATTTGAACATTAGCAACCCAGATAACATCCCTTCCAGTTGGCCACCGAAGAGGAATTTTGTAATTCGTTGGTGAGAGAAATAAACAATTTTGCCTGAGGTCATGGCCACATTGCCGGTCAAACTCTTTTCCATCAGCATAACCCAGAGCTAGATTGTCAGAAACATTAAAGCAAGGAACATAGTTTTCAAACTCCTCAGAACAGAATTCCAATTCTTTCAGCCTTGAGGGAGCAGCAGAAATCTCCCCAATATCCAACAGGTCCGATACAATTTTCTCTTGGAGCCTTCTATAACTATGGTAAATGTGAACTCTAGATGTGGTTGAAATTGAGACTGTCCACCAAAAAGATCCAGCAAGAGCAAGAATAACTATAAATACTAAACTAAACTTCAATAAAAGAAGAACCAATTTATGCCGACTTCTCGGACTGCCAACAATGAAGGGATCAGATGAAAAACCATTCTCAGTGATGCCATATTTAGAATGAGAATTATCTGCAAAAAGCAACCTAAAGGGAGACCTCAAGGATAAGAGGCTGTGGTCAGAAGAACCTCTTCTATCCAAACCTTCCTTTTCTGTTTTATCTTTGGATTGGGAGTCCCACGAGTCATGGCTGCTATCAGGGATCCGAATCCCAGATACACCCCTGTGCAGAGGCCTGGACATTCTCTGACCAAGAAGATTGATGGTTAAATGTGCAAATACTTTATGAATACACCCAGAAACCAATAAAAGTTTGTTATTCCAACATCATTCGGATCTGTGTGGGAAAAATCATCAGTTGTATCCAACTCCAGTTGAGCAAATACAAACCTAACATAAAAAAAATTGAAATAGTGTCAAGATTGATGGGGTTCATTTAGAATAGAACAAAACAGTAACTAGAGGCAAAACAAACTTCCAATTCAGAGAACCAAAAACATGGAAATAAAGACACGGTAGACCATTACTTAATCCACCGCACCAGATCCATCACGGACTCAATATTGAAATGCATATGTACAAACAAAAGATTTAAATTACTAAAAAAAATACATTAGTAGTAATTGCAAGTTTGAACTCGGAAAGAGCAAGATTCAAATAAATCAAAGTTGAAATAAAGAATATGGGTTGGTGGTTAACACAACAGTGAAATCACTTGCAGCTAGTTACATGACCATTAACTAGAGACTCATAAAAGCGCAAGCTTGTTTTCTTTAAAAAAAAAAAAAACCACCTTCATTGTGTATCCCAATCTAAACCCAGAAGCAAATCACAAAAGCGCATGGTCATTTTTGTTAAAAAAAATAATTATAACAATAACAAAACAAAAAAAAAAAACTTCATTGGCCATCCCAATCGAAACCCAGAAAGGAGTCATAAATAAGCGCAAGCTCAAAGAACCCAAAAACAAAAACAAAAACAAAAAAAGGAATTTTACGTATCCCAATGGAAATTCAGCAAGGAAAAACAAAATCCCATTTAGATCAATGCAGCAAGCAACACGAAAGAGTGAAACATTGGGGAGAAACATCAGATCAAACCCAGTGGAAAAACAAATAGCACGGCTTAAAGGAAGAGCTTTTGAACAACCAATGACAAGTACCTCCGCCATGTTGGAGGCAGAAAGAGAACGAAAATTAGGAATCCCGCGAAACCAGGGTGAATTTTTTTGTGCCCTTTGGTTGTTTGATGGACACCGTAACACGAATCACAACCACAGCACCTCTACCTCTCTCTCCTCTGCTTTTGGTTTCGTTTCGTTTTCGTTTCTCTCTGTCTATCACTCACTCGTTCGACTGCTAACTCTGCTTCCCAAACAAATACGTACATTAGCAAGCTGATTTTGTACTGATCCGATCGCGATTCGTGACACTCCCTAATGAATTCGATAAATTAATAAACTTAAAGCATCAGTCTTTTTAATGTTTTAATAGATAATTTTATCTTAAGCATATATTTTGAAGAGATGAAAGATAAATAAAAATATGTGGGGTTACTTTTTATTTTATTTTCTCTTCACATATTCATACTAAATTCACATACTTTTTTATGTGTGTATTTGAGATAATTTTATAAATATTAATCTCAAACTTAAATTTATATTTAATAGTGATGAATCAAAAATTACCAACTTGACATGTTTATTTATTAATTCTAGTAATAAAAACAAGCAGTAAATAACAGAATAAGATTATTTCCAGAATAAGATATTATTAACTTTATAGATTCACCAATATTAAGTATCTACACTGAACAGGAGAAAAGGTAGGAACTTAGGAAGGTACCTAAAAAGGCGCCTCAATTAATCTTCTACAGGAAAAGTTTCCGCTAATCATATCATATCCTATGAAAAAAATTCACTCATCTACTAGAAATGGAAGGCAATTTATCGAAGTGCCACATGACCAATTTTCTTCTACATAAAGTATAAAAGTGGAAAATAAATAAATAAAAAATGAAAAGAGTGGAAAGTGGGGATTTTTGAGTTGCTACAGGAAAGCGAGGCAAGCGAAATGGTAGATCTGAGAGAGAGAATTGGGGAACACGGTGAGAGGTGATAACACGGGAAAAACATTAGGATACGTTCTTTGTTTTTTAGTTTTAATTAATGTAACGTAATATGAATTTTGACTTATAGATCATGGTAATGGCCGACACTGACCTATACATTATTTAATCTTCTCAGCCATTATCATTTCATAAATGCAACAATTGGTGCGCGTTAACGCTTGCATGAGGTCACGTCCCCTCCGCTCTTTTAATAATATTTTTAAGCACTTCTCGAGCGGTTAGGCACAAACCCAAATTTTACTGGGTTAAGGAGTTAGGTCAAATACATGCCCTATTTCGTTCGGTGCTCTGTTTTATGGGTGAAAAACTGAAGATTCTCCGAGTTGTATCCTAGTAAATAATATATGGAAAAGCTTTGACATCTATTAACTTTAATGAGATTTGGTTGTCGTCGGAAATCATTGCGCTTTTGGGGTTCAAAGCGCATAGATTAGGATATTTTTATTATATTAGTGCAACGGAAGACAGATTTTCAAAGTGAAATTACTAACCATAATCATTTTGACCTGACAGGGCTGTCCTCATATGAGTTACTCGCCTACTTGAACAGGTTGAGACGTTGCCTTTTGTCTTGATTTAATGTTGTGGATAACAGTTGATGACTTCTTGGTGTGCACAATGGAAGATGATACACTTGCAATGATGTAAGACTTCTCACGCTCAATTAATTGAGGTGAAGTTATGCCAATGCATCAGGAATTGGCTCATCGCAAGGATTGGTATTATAAAGAATACTGATTAAAGTGTCACTTTTTTTATAGAAATTTTATCTAAATATGATGTGAAGTATTTTTTGTCATAGTGTCATGTGTCATAATTCGTTAGTACTGATAGAAAATTTCATAGTTAATGATTTCGTGACACGTGGCTATATTGCATATCAAATTCGTTACCACTGTAGCAAATTATGATCATTCAGTTTTTTTCTGCGAAAGTGTGACACGTGTCACAAAATCATTGACAAACGTAATTTGCTACTGATCAATTACGTCACGTGACAGTCTAGTAAAAACTATTGTTCGTGTAGTATTTGGATAAAAATTTCATCAAAAAGTGATATTTTGATGATGTTTCGGATTATAAACAAAAACCTTATTTTTGAATGATTTATCAAAATAATAAATAAAAAATCAACCATTGTATACAAATAGTACTAAATACTCTTTTATTGGATAATTATAAATCAATCAATAATTTAAAATTTTAAATATAATGATAATAAAAGGAAATATATAGATCCTCTCAATATTATTTAATATGATCATATCATATAAAAGGATTTTAACCATCAATGAAAAAATCAACACTGATAATTTTATAACTTTTTATCCTAAAACTAAGGAAAGCTTCTAAAGATAAGATTAATTATTTCTTAAAAAAAAGTTTTCAAAAACAAATATAAAGATAAAATAGCTTATTCTAATTAAACCAGTCTATTATCAAATAAGTTCAAAAACAAAATATGTTATAAATCTTAACGCTCAACAAACCAAATTTTTTTTAAAAAAATATAGGTCAGCTTAATGAGTCATAAATTTGTTTTTTTGAAGCAACCCATTGAATATTTTCCTGGTTTTCTATAGATGAGCTCCAGTATTTTGACTAATTGAGACTTTAATTAGATCCTTAATTTATGCCCTTATTTGCATCACAAAGTATGCAATAGGAATATGATACGGACATATGCCTCTGTATTTATATGCTGATAGAAAATTGTGTGTTGCGAAAGACCATGGAAAGAATATTGACCAAGAATCCAAGATGATGGAAGTAACTTAGAAATAATTATATTGGGCCGCATCGTAGATCCTATATTTAAGCTCAATACATCACTCTTATATTATTTTATTATATTTAGCAATTTACTTATTTTAGTAATAGTTATTGTTTCACATTAAGAAAATTTAAAATATTACTTCTTTTTTATCATACAAATGTATATGGTTGATAAGAGAATATTATTATGAATGTAACACGAAAAAAAAAAGTTAAAAAGGATAGCTTCACCTAGATTCTACTTTTAGATAAACAACAATAAATGATCTGTCTAAGAGAGAAAAATAAAATAAAGGATTGCATTTTTTTTATGTTGCTGAATAAAAATTATCTTATGCAAAAAAATAAAAAAATTATTACAAGTAGTTATAGGCTTTCATGTTTCTATACTAGATGTAGATAAGTCATCTACGTTTGCTCTCAAAATGAAGTTTTGAAAAATTAAAAAATTATAATGAAAAAGACTATTATAATCCTAAAATACATTATAATTACAAAAATAACATAATTTCCGCATTAAAACAACATCATTTTGATCTCAAGTAAATAAGTTCTCTACATTGATTCTGTAGAAAAAACGAACTCATAGTTATAATGATGAAATTATTTTTTTTCCTTTTCATCACATCAACTGACCATATCTAAAGAGAAAAAATATAATAACTTTAATATTATAACTATATATTACTTATGATACATAATCATTATTATTTTTGTATGAGATAATTTTTTTTCAATAAATATTTTTATAAAATAAAATAAAGAAACCATTACTCCATTACATTCATGCCCCCTGCATATATGTACAGACAGGTAAGACAACTAGTTCATGATTGTGGTGAGATTCAGAAGCATCAATGATGAAAGTGACTCCCATTCACAGATTGCAATAGGGTTGAGAGGTAACTTCTTTTATTTTATTTTTTTTCCCGATCGTTTGCGTTGTCTTGTCCTGATCTTAGGTTTTTCAGGGAGGATTATTTCATCACGAAATAATTTGCATTAACAAATTTGTACTTTGAAATGAATGAGTCCTTTAAATTATTTTCTTCTGTTATAGTTGTGTTTCGCTTAAGGGGCGTTTGGTTCAGGAAATTTTTTTGGAATAGTAGGGAAATGAGATAAATAGAGAAATGATTGGAAAGATAGATAAAGTGAGATAGGTAGAAAAATGTAAAAAAAAGTTGTTTGGTGGGGAAAAACTTTACTGGGAAAATTAAGTAACTTTATGAAATCAACAGTGCATTAAAAGCCAGATAACCGATTTTCCGAAAAATCCCACCTTCAAATTGAGTTTCTAAACAGTGCGGATATCTATGTTTCTCATAAATCCAGACAAATTGGATAGATGGGTTTTTGGTGAAAAACGTTGAAACAAACATGATGTTTCTAAAAGCCATACTTGAGAAAGATAGATATTCGCTGAAAAGCTCCCAACCAAACACCACCTTAAGGCCATTATCATATCATATGCGCTGTGCGCTGGTCTAGGAGGTCATACCCTGCCACCTCTCCGTCTTCTATAGATGTAGAAGTATAAATGCCGGAATGGAAAAACAAAAAATAAAAATATTGTTATGGTCCTAATCTAAAGTGATTTAAGAAGTTAAATTATAGTTAAAAAATCGCATAATAAAATACTTTTCTGAAAGGAAATTTTTCCTTGAATACTTGCCGACAAGCATCACATGTGACAAGAGTCAAATTTGGTAAACATAAAACATTTATAATGTAAAGAAGAATATAAAAGTCCTAAAAAGTTATAGTTAAAGAAATCATGCATTAATTAAGGTACTGAGATTGACTAGTTGTAAATGGTTAAATAATTTACATAAGATTATAAATACAAACTTTAGTCTCATCGTTGTATATAGAAAAAAAAATATGGTGCTAAATAGGGGAAAATTTAACATGCTTCAGGCCAATCATTTATTCAGTGGTCCTTTTTTATAAATAAAAAATTTTCTTTCATTTTTATCCCTTTCTTTTTGATTTTTTTTTCTTCCGTCTTTTTTTTTTCATTTTGGAGAGGGACCACCATAGTCCCGGCTCATAAAAAATCTTCTCGCTGAATAGAGTTAACAAAAAAAAAGTTCCGAGAGACACGTGTCATTACAAAAATGTCTAAATTTGTCTCATGAAGAACTATTAAATTGGATAATGTTAATTTAAAAATTACATAATATTTTTGTATGAATAGTGAAAGGTAATTCTATAATGTAAAAAAATAAAAATAAAAACTCACTTTTAAAATAATTAAAAGTAAAAATAATATTCTTTACTTTATTTTTGTTTTGAATGCGCAAAGAAATAGGATTTTGCATACTGTATATTGGATAAATACTTTTACATGCTGTTGGATAAAGTGTTTTTCCTATCACACATACATCAATTTATGTGCTTTAAATTTTTT